GGATCCTCAGGTTTTCAAATTTAGTAAACTGGTATCTTCAGAAGTGAGGTCCTGGGAAATAATTTGGAAAATCACTCTAAAAATAAAGTATATCAGCTATCATTGCTTTTATCAAGCAATCTTTGGGTGTATAAGTTGAGTGTATAAATTTGGGTGTATAAATTGGTATCATTAGTCAATGTTCTGCCATTGGCAGAAAACCCAATCCTAGCTCTTGAGACACCCTTAGTAATTACACCGCATTCTGGCTACAAATACAACTTTTTAGTTTGGTCATCATGAGTCAGTGCTTCTAGTCTTGCAGGTGTTTAATTCATTTTCTTCCCTTGCAGATTTGAGAAGCAGTCCCCGGATACTGGTACTGAATCATGGAAGAAATGCCCCACAGGTAAGGCCTAAGGATAACTCTTCAAAATCCTTTATATTGCTTCATCCACTGCCTTGTTCCTTTTTTTCATCCTGCCAAATTTGCTGAATGAAGGGTTTTTTTAACATCTTTCTCTATTTCCTCATTATTCAACCCTTCTACTTCAAGTAGCCCAATTTGAGGTATTACTCAACCAATATGGAGAATTCCAGGCACAGTGCAAGTAAGCCATACATCAACCATCTATTTTTTTCCTTCAAAATGTCTCTTTGTAATTTCTCTACCATAATCCAGCTCAGCCTTTTCCCACCCCATTTCTGATTAACTGCAAACTTTGTAGTATACCTGTTTCTTTTAATTGACTCATCCACATTATTTATCCTACAGCACAGCTTTGATTATGCTACTCATTTCATCTTCCCTCTTGGCTGGTGAATTAAATTCAAAGCCCCTAAGTATTCAGGGATTTTTTAAGATGGTTGCAATCTATCCTTCTGACTATCTAATCTGTAATTCTATCTAGACTCTCAGTCTCTTCACTGCAATCTGCCTCTCCTTCCTCCCTGTCTGGATGCATCCCTTTTCACCTTAACACCCAGCGTAAGGTGAAAACACTGGGTCCTCAACATCCACAAGTCATTTCATCTCACCTTGATCTGAGCAAGATCCTCTTTTAAAATGAATGGGTTTTTAAAAATTGAAGTGATATATATTGATAGACTCCTCAATTCTAGGGCGGGGGGGGATACTAAATGGGCCTCTTCCAAAGGAGAAATGTTCATGTTTTTTTGTTGTTGGTTTCTTCGACTATATTAAGAGTGGAGATTTTATATCCCTCACTGTTTAGCATAATGATTTATATACAACAATTTCTCCTCAATTAATGTGAAGCCTTCCCAATCTATTTATTTATGTTATATAATTTGATGAGAAAATCTTCCCATGGAAGTACAATTCAATCAGCTTACTATCAAGCCGTTTAAAATTTTCCTGAACTTCAAAGTTAACAGAACAAAACACAACAGCCATGGGCTTCACTCCAGAACAATAAAAGCGGAACCTCTTAAAGGCAGAGTTTAGGCACTGGTTTTCAAGCAACCCAGAATATTACAATGTGTAAACTTAATTAAGAAGGATGGCAGATTAAAACTTCCATTTTGTAGACAAGGAAAGTAAGGTCCTAAAAGGTTATCCGATAATCTAAGGAAACAAAATTAATTTCTATCAAAGACAGGAATAAGTTAAAGCCTCGGGAAACCTTTTCATTGCCCCTTAATCTATATTATGCTGCCTGAAGCACATGTCTAAGCTTGTTGAAAACCTTTTTAATCCCAGGAGTCTTTCATCAATGAAGTGAATTAGTAACTGCAAAACAGACTCAATTTTAAAATGTGAAATCAGCAGCATTCTTTCATTTCAGGATGCCTCCTGAAAATTCCTGCTCAGAATTTGTTCTGAAAGGTTTGAAAATGGGTACAGTTCAAATAACCAAGAGCTGAATATAAAACTCCATTCTAGTCACTATAAAAACCACCTCTTGGCAGAGAATGAGTTATCTCTGAAATTGTCCCATCTCTAAAATCTTATGAGTTATGGCTGTGACTAAAATGGACTATTTCCCATGTCATACACAATTCCTTTACATAATAGCTATAGTTGAATAAATATACAAACAGATGGAAGCTAGAGCAGTGAAAGTTAGGTCTCAGTATCTTTTCCATGAATGCCTCCTAAACTGCTCCAGTCAGGAGGCTGATGGTCATGGTCATTCCTGCTCTGGCCCTATCACCTTTGATCTCATCTAATAGTAGATGATTACTTGCTGTGTATTCTCTCTACTTCGTTCCCTTTCTGTCACCTCTGCTTTACTGTAGGCCCTCAGCATCTCTCATCTAGACCTCTAAAATACAACAAATAAACTTCCCATAGCCAGACACCCCCTCTCAATGCACTCTCCAGTTATCTTTCTAGAATACAAATGTTGTCATGTCATTCTCCTTAATCAACAGAGCTTTGAAGTCTAACTTTCTGCCTCTTACCACATGCATCGTACACTAGCTATGCCAGCTTTTGCATGCAGTGTTCTGCCTAGAGTGCCTTTCCTACCACATCCACCTCAACAAGCCCTAGCATCTTTTAAGATATCATGCAAATGACACCTTGTGACCATTTCCTCCACCCTATCCCTCTTTTCTCTGGGCTTCCCAAGTACTACCCTCCTTGTTAGGTCCTTTTTATAATCATGTTGTAATTGTTGATCCTAGTCTGTCTTCCCAGGAAGAGTCTCAATATCTATTCACCATGTCTTTATTGCACATTCTCTGTGTCAAGTCATCTTCTGTGTATTAGGAATATAGTAGTGAACAAAATAAAATATTTGCTCTCATGGAGCTCATAGCCCAGTATGGGAAATGGCAAAAATAAAATAAAATAAATCCTAGAAAATGTCAGGAAGTGATAAGTAGGTGAAGAAAAGTAAAGCAGGAAACATGGATGCTACTGTGGAAAGGGTAGCTGAAGAACTTCTGTCGTATTCATTAATATTTGAACAAAAACCTGACAAAAGTGAGGGAAAGAGCCCATGCACAGAAGTATGAAAGAATATCCAGGCTGAAGTGGATACAGAGGGACTGTAAATGTGAAGGCCTCCTTGGAGACTTATTCACCTTTTTATGCCCCATGGCTAAGCAGAGTCTGGCAAAAGTCATCTAACTATGTGTAGACTTACTGCTGAGCTCATATTCTAGTACAGATTTTGTTCCATTTCACCTCTAGTGGTCCCCTCCAGTCTAGAGGAAGAATACCTCACTACAGAGAGCACTGTATTTCTCTGTTGAAAAGGCCCTGACATCACAAATGCCACTCCTCAATAATCCCTTCTTCTGTTTCCTTACAGCACCTCATTTTTACTTCTTCTGTGATACATATCACATACTGCCTTACATTGCAAGGGTTTGTGTACAAATAATATTTTCCCTCAAATTCTTGAGAATCCAGATCATGATCTTTTCACAAAAATTCTGTTCACACATCATCTAGCTCAGGGACTTGTGCTTAGTCACCAGCTAAGTAACTGGATAACCTCTACCTAGATTAGCAAAATACTAGGGCCACATCCCCCACCAAAGACTTTGGGAATGTAGGGAAGGACAGTACACCTTTCTTTCCACCCAGGCTTATTATTAGTTGCCCCAATAAATGTTTGTATAATTATGTTTTATAATACTTCTCATGGGTCTCTTATTACTTTTTCCCGTCTAAGCAGGGAGGTTAGTCAAATTCTCAAGAGAATTTCTGCAGACTAAGTAGATCTAAGTAGATGTTTCAACAGCTGGGGGGAGGGGGGGGGTGACCTGGACCAGAAGTTAGTAAGAGGAGCTGATTTGTGTGGCTGAAAAGGCCACACCCAGTCATTATCCACTTTTCCCATCCTCACAAGGTACTACACCTTTCCTTAATTGAGCTTTTCTATCAACTTTCTTTACTCTCTTCCAATAGTGGACAACGAACCTCTCCGAAATGGAATGGTATATAGAATTTCATTTTTTTAAAAAACCATATTAACAACCTTCCTTCCCATGAAACAAAGAAGTTGCCAACAATTAAGAAAACAGATAAACGAGTATCTGTTCTTAGCTGCAATATGCAGCAATGACCAATGCCTAAATAAATCACCGGTTTTGCATCAGTCTCCTCCTATCTGTAAGAGCATAAATTCCCTTGTAACTCACTGCGAACAGTTCCAGGATGAGAAATCTATGTAAGATCTAGAAGGGACGACTTTAAAAGACTGAAAAAACCAGGAGAAAAAATGGTAAAGCTATCTTCCAACGCCTCATTCCAGAGGCGCTTTAATTAATTTTTGCCCCTGACCCACTCCCCCACCCCTGCCACCTTCTCCATGTGCCTCTTTAACTCCCCTCTACTCTCTACCTCCCTTCCAAGTCCCGGATAGCTTCCTCTGTTACCTGATCACTTATTCTCGAGGTTTGGGCAAAACTGTGCGCCAAAGTGCCGGCCGGCAAGGAAGGGGTGCGAGCAGCGGACGCCAGCGCTCCAGTGCCGCAGGTTCCACCTTGGAGAAGCACACACCGCTCTCCACGCGGCCCCAGAGCGCGTTGGGAGCCTACAGCTAGCTCCGCCCATTCCAGACAGGCCCCGCCCCTTAGGAAAGAGCTTTTTAGCCCTTGGCAGGCGCCGTAGTCATCACCCAACAGGCTTGGCCCAACTCTTTCCGCGCCGGCTGCGAGTGCGCAGCGCAGCCAACCTGTGGGCGGAGGTGTAAGGGAGCGGATAGCCAAGCCCGGCACTTCCCACGCATTGCTCAAAGACTGCAGTCAGGCCCCTAGGGTGGAGAAAGTGTCGCCTTCTGGGTGTCCAAGTCGCTGCAGTGACCCCTGCGTTAACGTTTTCCGCTGCTGCGGCTGCTGGAGCTTCGATAATTCCCGCATCTGGGCGGAGGCGCGCAGCCTCTGCACTCTGCGGACCAAGCAGGAGGGTGCTGGAGCGGACTCTCCCAACAGCGTCTGTGCTTGTCCTCCTGCCTCCCCACCCCCACCCTGCGCCACCCGCATCCCCGCCCCCTCGCTCTGCACCTCCTCCTTGGCTGCGGGCAGAGGGCTTCAAACAGCCGCAGCGCCCAGTGTCTGGACAGCCTGTAGGAGGCACACACGCCTACACCCACCCTGCCTAGCCGCACCCCTGCCCAGCATGTCGGCGCTCGAGTGGTACGCCCACAAATCTCTGGGCGATGGCATCTTCTGGATTCAAGAACGCTTCTATGAGTCCGGCAACCGCGCCAATATCTGGCTGGTGCGTGGCTCCGAGCAGGACGTAGTGATCGATACCGGCCTGGGGTTGCGCAGCCTCCCGGAGTACCTGTATTCCTCCGGCCTCTTGCAGGACTGCGGGGCCAAAGAGGATGCGGCGCCCCGGCCGCTTCTGGCTGTGGCCACCCACGTGCACTTCGACCACTCCGGCGGTCTGTACCAGTTCGACCAGGTGGCCGTGCACCACGCTGAGGCCGAGGCCCTGGCTCGCGGGGACAACTTTGAGACCGTGACCTGGCTTTCCGACAGCGAGGTGGTGCGGGCGCCCAGCCCCGGCTGGAGGGCCAGGCAGTTCCGAGTGCAGGCTGTGCAGCCCACCCTCATTCTGCAGGATGGTAATAGGCCCCCACGGGCACGCGATCGCGTTAAGGGAGGGGATTGGGGAGAGACTGTCCGAGTACTGCGTATTGCAAAATTGCTTGGCCATAGTGGGATTGTTTGGGTACATCGCAGACGCATCCCTTCTGTCTTACCCTTCCCAGGGTAAAAGCCCACTACATCAGTGCCAAGGCCATCGCAGCCTTCTCTGTCAGTAGACAGTAGCTCTGGTACAGTGTAGTGATTCTGAGTACTCGATTGAAAGCCGGCACCACCCCCTAGTCAGTTTCCTGTGTCTGTTGCAGTAGTAACACTACAGAGACCGGTGACCAGGGATTTCCCTTTCTTTCCCCCTGAGAACCCGTCTGACATTTCCAGGATTTTATAGCAAGTAGACTTTTAAGGAATAACGCCTCACGAAGAGTACATGTCGCACTTTGTGCTTTTGAGAACTGCTGACTTAATTTGCTCAGTCACCACCTGGTATGAACAGTTACCACCTGTAGGCTTAGAAAACCATCAGAGCAGTGATTCCAATCTGCGCATTCATTTTTATCTTTCAGATTGGTTTCTTTTCTTGATGTTGCCTCACTAGAGAAAAAGCTTGATAGTGAACATAAAATAGAATATGTCTAGCTTATGTAATGTCAGATATCTGGTCTGCTTGAAAGCGATGCCTGAGAAAGATTAATAAGCTTTGTTTCCTATGGGGTGAAGTATGTGGCATAATAAATAGATGGCCTTGGTCATCTTTGGTTATGAAAGACGATGCGGTTTCAGAGAGAAATTCATGGAATAAAACAAGATAGGGGCCCTACTCTTTCCACACAGGAACTGAGCCACAACAGCATATGTGGTATATTTCTCTTCTATTTAGAAGAATTTTAGCCTCACTACGTATTTGAAAACAGGTAACCAATCCCCGATTAAATGTCTTGCCTAGCGAGATGGTGATAAAAGCTAGGATTTGAACCAAGGCACAATAGATCAAAGCATGAAGAACATACCATAAATCATACCAAGAATTATGATAATTCTAAGCAGAATGTGAAAGTCCCTTTTTTCCTTTCTATCTTATCATTTTAATTGTCTATTTAGTCTATTGAAACATGCCTTTATGAAGAATATCCAGTTTTGCACTACAGTGAAGCTAACTATAAGACTAAACAATACAGCAGATAATAAAATGTTTTACAAAAATCAGTTTTTCTTACAGATGATATCTTGATCATTTGTAATATTAAAAAAATTGTAAAACTCTATGTCTCATCCTCCTCCCAAAAGTCTCCTTAAAGTTTTAAATCTGAGTATTTAAAAAACAAAACCTGTTAGGTAAGAGTCTTACATTATCTGACAATTTTAGATGAAAAAAGTATTTATATTAAATATACTTTTAATCATTATATTTCTTTGATAGAATTGATACTTTTAGAGGTAGCATTTCCAAGCAGTTGGTGGATATTCAGATTCTCAAGGGCGAAAGAATGGTAGGGATTATTGTTTTATAGATGAAGAGAGGATCTACACAGACCTGAACACTATTCCCGAGGTCTCCTTGACATTTTGGGAAGGAACTTGTACGGGAACCCAGGTTTCCTGAATCCCAATTGATGGTAGAATCCTGCCATTTTTGGAGCTGCAAAGGGCCTTCTAGCCACTTGTGTGGTGCTTTAAAGCTTTGAAGGTGTGAAAAGAAAGCTTAATATTTACAAACACTTTGAAGGTGGTAGTACTGTGTTATCAAAAGTTGTTTTTCATTAAGAGCAGGATGCCTCATCTTCTCAAGTACTATCTAATTTCCTCACTTCTCAGGAATATTAATTTCCTGTCTCTTCTAGAGGATGAGGCCTGTTAACTTGCTATTAACATAATCCAGATACCTAGAAGGAGATATAAAATACTTACATTAAAAAGCCATGTACAGATGCATACACACATACACAGTACATACTCAACAGCATATAGTCTTCATTACTTTGGTTAGAACACAAAGTGGCTGAAATAATTTATTACATTTCATTTAGTGAATTGATGATTACCTTTTATGGAGAAGCATAAATCTGTTCACTGAATCTCTAACCCCAAAGCAGACTTATAAATGAGGGACACGAGGACAAGGAGAGAACAGCCACGTCATCCAGTGCATTATCTTTGATGAAAAAAGAGCTTGCCTTATTAATAATGAAATGATATTTTCCTGTGAGAAGATAGTGCTAGATCTTGAACGGGCAGACATCATGTTGCCTATTTTTTTTTCAATATTCATGTGATTCAAGTTCTGGCATTTTTGTCTCCATTGTATGTGTTTAGACAATTTTCTTTTCTTTTCTATTTTTTTTTGTTGAAATTGCCCTCTCTCTTTTTTTTTTTTTTAAATTTTTATTGTTGGTTGTTCAAAACATTACATAGTTCTTGATATATCATATTTCCCACTTTGATTCAAGTGGGTTATGAACTCCCATTTTTACCCCGTATACAGATTGCAGAATCACATCAGTTACACATGCAATTGATTTACATATTGCCATACTAGTGTCTGTTGTATTCTGCTGCCTTTCCTATCCTCTACTATCCCCCCTCCCCTCCCCTCCCCTCCCCTCTTCTCTCTCTACCCCCTCTACTGTCATTCATTTCTCCCCCTTGTATTATTTTTCCCTTTCCCCTCACTTCCTCTTGTATGTACTTTTGTATAACCCTGAGGGTCTCCTTCCATTTCCATGCAATTTCCCTTCTCTCTCCCTTTCCCTCCCACCTCTCATCCCTGTTTAATGTTAATCTTCTTCTCATGCTCTTCCTCCCTACTCTGTTCTTAGTTACTTTCCTTATATCAAAGAAGACATTTGGCATTTGTTTTTTAGGGATTGGCTAGCTTCACTTAGCATAATCTGCTCTAATGCTATCCATTTCCCTGCAAATTCTATGATTTTGTCATTTTTTAATGCAGATTAATACTCCATTGTGTATAAATGCCACATTTTTTTTTTATCCATTCGTTTATTGAAGGGCATCTAGGTTGGTTCCACAGTCTTGCTATTGTGAATTGTGCTGCTATGAACATCGATGTAGCAGTGTCCCTGTAGCATGCTCTTTTTAGGTCTTTAGGGAATAGACTGAGAAGGGGAATAGCTGGGTCAAATGGTGGTTCCATTCCCAGCTTTCCAAGAAATCTCCATATTGCTTTCCAAATTGGCTGCACCAATTTGCAGTCCCACCAGCAATGTACAAGTGTACCCTTTTCCCCACATCCTCGCCAGCACTTGTTGTTTGACTTCATGATGGCTGCCAATCTTACTGGAGTGAGATGGTATCTTAAGGGTGGTTTTGATTTGCATTTCTCTGACTGCTAGAGATGGTGAGCATTTTTTCATGTACTTGTTGATTGATTGTATGTCCTCCTCTGAGAAGTGTCTGTTCAGGTCCTTGACCCATTTGTTGATTGGGTTATTTGTTATCTTATTGTCTAATTTTTTGAGTTCTTTGTATACTCTGGATATTAGGGCTCTATCTGAAGTGTGAGGAGTAAAGATTTGTTCCCAGGATGTAGGCTCCCTATTTACCTCACTTATTGTTTCTTTTGCTGAGAAAAAACTTTTTAGTTTGAGTAAGTCCCATTTGTTAATTCTAGTTATTACCTCTTGTGCTATGGGTGTCCTATTGAGGAATTTGGAGCCCGACCCCACAGTATGTAGATCATAGCCAACTTTTTCTTCTATCAGACGCTGTGTCTCTGATTTTATATCAAGCTCCTTGATCCATTTTGAGTTAACTTTTGTGCATGGCGAGAGAAAGGGATTCAGTTTCATTTTGTTGCATATGGATTTCCAGTTTTCCCAGCACCATTTGTTGAAGATGCTATCCTTCCTCCATTGCATGCTTTTAGCCCCTTTATCAAATATAAGATAGTTGCAGTTTTGTGGATTGGTTTCTGTGCCCTCTATTCTGTACCATTGGTCCACCCACCTGTTTTGGTACCAGTACCATGCTGTTTTTGTTACTATTGCTCTGTAGTATAGTTTGAAGTCTGGTATCGCTATGCCGCCTGATTCACACTTCATGCTTAGCATTGTTTTTGCTATTCTGGGTCTTTTATTTTTCCATATGAATTTCATGATTGCTTTCTCTATTTCTACAAGAAATGCCGTTGGGATTTTGATTGGCATTGCATTAAACCTATAGAGAACTTTTGGTAATATCGCCATTTTGATGATGTTAGTTCTGCCTATCCATGAACAGGGTATATTTTTCCATCTTCTAAGATCTTCTTCTATTTCTCTCTTTAGGGTTCTGTAGTTTTCATTGTATAAGTCTTTCACCTCTTTTGTTAGGTTGATTCCCAAGTATTTTATTTTTTTTGAGGATATTGTGAATGGAGTGGTTGTCCTCATTTCCATTTCAGAGGATTTGTCGCTGATATACAGGAATGCCTTTGATTTATGCATGTTGATTTTATATCCTGCCACTTTGCTGAATTCATTTATTAGCTCTAATAGTTTCTTTGTAGACCCTTTTGGGTCTGCTAGGTATAGAATCATGTCACCTGCAAATAGTGATAATTTAAGTTCTTCTTTTCCTATTTTTATACCTTTAATTTCTTTCGTCTGTCTAATTGCTCTGGCCAGTGTTTCGAGAACTATGTTGAACAGAAGTGGTGAGAGAGGGCATCCCTGTCTTGTTCCAGATTTTAGAGGGAATGCCTTCAATTTTTCTCCATTCAGAATGATGCTAGCCTGAGGCTTAGCATAGATTGCTTTTACAATATTGAGGTATGTTCCTGTTATCCCTAGTTTTTCTAGAGTCTTGAACATAAAGGGATGCTGTACTTTGTTGAATGCTTTTTCCGCATCTATCGAGATGATCATATGGTTCTTGTTTTTAAGTCTATTGATGTGGTGAATAACATTTATTGATTTCCATATATTGAACCAGCCTTGCATCCCAGGGATGAATCCTACTTGATCATGGTGCACAATTTTTTTGATATGTTTTTGTATCCGATTCGCCAGAATTTTATTGAGGA